GGGGGGAAGGATGTAATAATGAAGTGTAGAAGCATTAGTATTTCTATGCCAGCCTCATTCATCATGATAAATCATTTGCTTGGAAGCTGGACGCTCCTTTGCACCGCAGCATCAGTCTTCATACAAAATTTATTTTTCCAAAGTAGAAAATTTTCATAGCAAACAGTGTTCTAAATACTACTGACCACATCCAATGAATTTCTCCTGGCACTAATCACAGGTATGAAGCTGAGAAACTAGCTATGCCAGCCGTGTGGATACATTGCAGTAACATGTTTAACAACAAATCCTCTACCAATATTCCATGAGGTCCCGATTCGATCCTCTGTCGGAGGTTCAGAAGGACTGATGGAAGTTGCACATTTTCAAAAAATTTCCAAAAAAATTACTCGCAGTATCGAACGGAAGACAAATCATGAAAAAAGAAAAGACCTTGATGAATCAATAAGTACTAAACACAAAAAATGTTTGTCATATAAAAAAAATTTACCCCATAATGTTAGGGAAAAACTTGATTTATTTTAGAAAAGCAACATGACCGATAGCATGTTACTTTTTTAATACATCAAGAGGAATTTTTCCATGATTCCGCTTAGATAGATACTAATAAAATGTAGGCAAGTGATGCTAAAGTAGATTTACTTTATCAGACGATTTTTTTTTGTGAATTTAATCACGTTTTAAAGAAGTGGGGAAAAACATGTAGATGCAAAAAGCAGCTGGGAAAATTTTTGAAGCAAATTAGCCATTTCAGTACATGGGACAGAAATATTCACTTAGTGTTACAAAAAAATCTTAACGGTTGAACTTTTCTAACTTTCAGCAAATTTTAATGGCTTTTTTTAACTTTGATTTACTATAAATTACAATATAAAAATTTTTCAGATGATGAAAGTACTGAAGTTGCCAAGTAACAAACAGTTTAAAAATAATGTTCCTAAATTTAGGAATAATGTTGAACTTAAGAATCAAGAAATTTCGTTGGAAAAAGAAATTAAAAAATTAAAAAGCAAAAATTTTTATGGACGAAAAAGGATGAATTTCATTAGAAACCTACCAAAAAATTGTTACTTAAATTATATCAAAACAATTTTACATATAATTTTACAACTAAACTTAAGCAGGATGTTTTGATACACTAGGTGGCAAATCAAAACTGAAACAGTGAAGCAAAAAAGGCACATCTTGCGCTATTTGAAATTCGAAAGGTTTTGCAAGAAGCTGGGCCATTAAGAAAGCCGAAAAAAAAAAGGGAAAAACTTACAAAGCCATGTTTATCCGAAATATTGTTGGTCAGTTTCAATTTATGAAAGTTCGCCCCTTTGGCCATCCAGTGCTCACCGGTAGCTGGACTATCCGGATGTATGTACATGCGTTTTGGCATTTCCGGATCCGCTTTACCAGCCACCATCCATCGTGAGTTATGGAACTTATAGCGACATTCATCAGCGGGCACAATATCCATTAATAAAATATACTTGGAGCGTTTATCCAAACCGGATAGCTTCACCTTGAATGCTGGAAAAATCCGCCTGAAACGTGAAACACATGACTGTGTAGGATTTTAGAATTACAGTAGGCTAACTTTGAAGTTTGCTTCAGTTAATATAAAAAATGAGTATTTAAATTCCACAACGCCAAACAGTGGTGCTGTTGGGTAATTTAACGCCTTTTGCAATTTATGGCTTGCTTCATGCAATTTCTAGTGCTTTATAAATCAACAGATCATTTTTTTCACAATAATAAGTCTCCCTCATTGTCTTCTCTTCATTATTATTGTTGTTGTTATTATTGTCACTGTTGTTATTATTATTAAAGTTATTGTTATTTTTGGTATTATCATTATTTTTGTCGTTGGTGAAAAAAAAAAACTCTAGCTGTATTGTATATACGACCATTGGGAATAAGATAAAGCTACCGGATTCTAAACCTAAGGAATTTGTAGTTACATTTTTTACTGCACAATGCTACGATTGTAACATATCCAGTAAAACAGAGGAACGTTGCTGTTGATGGAAGGGAAAGTTTTACAAACACTATCCAACTGATTTTCGTCGCCGTTTAACAAAATGATTGAGTGACTGAGGCAAATGTGAAGATCTATTCCCATTACAAGTGGTAATGGAGTG